GACGGGAAGCCCTACGTGGATTAGGTTAGATTCTACAAAGAGCAGCCTAGCTTCTAGAAGTTACAAGAACTAACCAGATTGAGCATTCAAGACTTCCATGGCTCCGAGTGACTTGCTAGATTCCTTGATTGTTTATCCTTGTCACCGGAAATTTTTTTCATGCCGCACGTGTGCATAAGTAAGGAGACCACAAGCTCGATAGTCGAGCCCTTCCAGGCCTTCAACCCACAATGATATAAGCTGGGTTGGTGTGGCCAAGATAGTAACGACCCGCTTCAAAAACCCCTTCGTCTCGCTGTACTTCTCTCGATAGTCCTGCGTTCACTGCTCTCGTATCATTACTGGCTCTTCGCCACCATTCCTCCGACGACTCATGCCACGTCTCTACAGCGTCGCGGATACGGTCGCGCGTGTCCCCTCCTCGGTTGGCCTTCCATCACCAGCAGACCCAGGCGAACCACCTCTGCGCACTATCTCAGGCCGGGTTCATTCCGCATTCGCCTATATAACGAGTGTCACCGCATCCATAATGGGGCGTGTTCAACATTTGGTGGCTCCCCTCTTAGCAGCCAACCTCGGAGAATGGAAATCCCAAGACCCCCAAAGCGTAGATTTACGAAGGGAGATCAACTTGAATGCACCGACTCCATCAGTAGCTGCCGTACGTACGAATGGTGATCCAGTTGCGCTGGTTCCAGGAAAAGCAGCGTAGGAGACGATGATTACGGCTGACCAAGCCGATGCGAGAGGCTCGAGGAAGTTGTGGAGCAGCCCAGAGCGAAATCCCCTTGGGTTGGAGTTTAATGCCGCGCTCGGTCCCTCCTGTGTAACATGGCACCGCACCCGCCATCGTTCCAGCTTTCTATCTATTGCTTCTATTTAAGTTTCACCGATGTACCTTATTTGAAATTGGCTTATTGTAGTTACATACTGTAATCCTGCCGGCTCTGAATTTCTAAATGCAGATAACGATCGAAATTGACCACCCGAGTGAAGGACTATTATCTCTCGTGTTCAAACGAGCAACGACTTGTCTCGCCAACGACACCAAAGGTTAGCAGTAGAACAGCGTTTTCAATGCATTGTAGATACCGAGAGCCAGCGGATGCAGCATAGCGTTCCTAGCGTTGAATCACACGAAATGGCCAGCCTGATCGACACCATACAATTATGGAAGACCAGATTATATTGAATTAGAAGACCTGGCTGACAGAGTAAGGATTTTCTGTGAGGTTTTCCGACATGAATCCCGGTTGAGGCATGAACAAGAGATCCGGCGAACATGGCTAAAAGGATGGGGCTGTACATGAAATTGACGAAGCGATTGACGAGAAGCCCTCTCCGTGGCTCCAATGACTCTTTTGAGGGAGTTTCGTGACTGTAGTGCCAGGGCTCAAACACTTAATTGGGGAGTGGGCATTGAGGCCTTAGCTAGGAGCGAAATTTTGATACCCTTGCCATGGATCGTCCTCGGCCACAGGCCATGCAATCCATCACCTTAAAATTTATTCAATTACACATAGCATAGTATTTTCTTAATCCCAAAAAGGAATCGTTTGCATTTCCGCACATTTGACGTTGGTCCGAGAACCTGCGCCGGTTGCCCCTCTCCCTTCACCCGCGGACCCTCGGATGCCTAATCCCAGAGCATCAAATTCCACTAATTATGGATACGAAGGAGATTATTCGCGAGGTATGCCATGGAAAATGCGCCCTTGTGGGTGTGGCGCTAAGGTATTACCATGATATATTTTGGGTAGGTAAACTTTTGTCAGGCCGTCATTGTTCGGTTCGGAGAGCGACAGACTGAAGCTTACGTAAGATATTACGTAATAAAATGGGTAATTCTTCAAGTCGACGGTTCTGCAAGCCTTCTACAGCTCACGAGGGGCTTGTCGTGTTACCTTCAGCTGTCTGCGAATCCCCATTATTCAAACTTTGGCTTGGCGCACTGGCACATAGTAAAATGAGACTATAAGTAGGATACTCGAGGTATTTCATCCTTCAAACCACAATGATATAAGCTCGCTTAGCTCGGGTAATAACCCTTCACTTCAAAAATTCCCTCCATTGAACTAGGCTTCCCTCATTTTCTCCGCACTTATTGCCCCCGTCTTATTTATTTTCTGAGCTACCATTTTCTCGCCAGCCCACGCCATGACTCCGCACGATCGCGGATACAGTCGCGCGTGTCACCTCCACACTTAACTGCCGATCAAGCGTTCTCCGCGTTGACTGACCGGAGGCACGGGGTCTGCGTTTCATTCGTACAAGCAGAGTACCCCTTTCACTTCGAGAAGTACAGACCCAAATCGGGGGGTCTATTCCTTTTTGTCTCCCTGCTCTAAAAAAGCAGCGCGATGGACCGTTTTGGAAGGTCAGGGCCAAGTCACAGGTCTGCAATTTGTTCTTACACGCTGAACAGCACGACGGATCATATCCGCATTACTTATTTCTTTCCTTCCTTTTTTCTTGCAGATCAAGCTTTCCGGATGAGCGGGCCGTATTGTGAGAGGATGCGCCATACAAGGATAAGGAACTTCATTGCTGGCGCAGCGTTGCAAGCGGCGTTGTGCGGTTGTGCCGGATCCATTACTCCTGGGTCGCGTTCGACTTTTCAATTGTTGCAGCACGGGGGGCACAGCCGCACTTGCCGTATATAATGAGGAAGGCAAACGATGGACGCGGCGATAGAAGGCCATGAAGAATTGGATAAAATCTCCGCCGACATAAATTGTGGGTGAGTGTGCGAAACGACGGCGCACGATGCAGGCCTAAGTTAGACTTACTCGTGCAATGCTCTCAGAGAGACGATGACCCCCTTCCCATCGTGGATTTGATGAACCGCTGACCTTGAGGTATGATAGTAGAGCTTTTGGGACTCGGATGGGATAGAATAATTACCATCCGTTTATGCCGATTCTCGAAGCAAATCATTCTCTTGGGACCAACTCGTGCTGGAAAACACCTAATTAGAATAAACTAAAGGCCACGTAGAATATATCCTGCTTCTATGCGACGCCTCTTTGGGGAGAGACCAACCATAATAGGCGATTGGAGGCTTTCCACGGCTTGCCCTCCCTTCTGCTCCGTCGCTTTATTTCCAAGTCCCGCTGTATGCGAATTCCCTCACCTTGATTTATTTTCCGGGTGAGGAGATAAGACATTTGAATAGGCTCGGACTTTTATCCTCCTCCCCCCCCCCCCCGAAAGGATATAAGCTGGCCTGGGTTACCCGAGATAGCTCTACACTTCGAAAACCTCACCGATCCGCTACACTCCCCTTGATCATCCGATACTCCTCACTCTTGTCTCATTACTAGCTCTGGCTGACCATTTCATTGCCCATGTCACGGCTTCCTCGGACTGCGTATGCAGTCGAGCGCGTCCCTTCCCCACTTGACAGCCCACCAAGTATTCTCGACGTTAACGGCTCCCCATTGATAAACCGACACAAACTATCCTTACGCCTTATCTGGGGAGCCCCTCATTCCGCACTTACATTTATCACAAACGCCGCCGCATTCATCTTGGGTCCTGTCCGACACTCGATGGTTACTCCCGCCACCAGCATTAAAGAGGAGGAAATCCAGGGGCATTGGACTTCACCTCTGCCACGGGAGGTCAACTTTCACGCCCCAAGTTCATCAATAGCTGTCGCTCGCCCCCGCGGTCGTCCTGTTGTCCGGATTCCAGCAAAGGCAGCCTAGGGAAGGTCTCATAAAGCTGACCAAATCAAAGAGATGAGACTCGGGGAAGTCGTATTGGGGTTCACTGTATGAGAAGTATCCGAATGCCGCGCCCGGTCCCTTACGTGTAACAGGCACCGCGTCCGTCATTGTCTCGATTTTTATTTATCCCCTGCTTTCATTAGGTTTCACCCCTTAATCATTGTTTTGTCTACATTTGGCATATCCCTGCTGTAGTACTTTCTGTAGCCCTGTTTGGTCTGCAGTTCAAGTCGTAACGATTAATTGGGAGCTAGGAGTGAGTTCTCGCGCGACCAAAAACCATGCCTCTCGGATATAAATAGTTGCTAGCTCATTGGGAGCGAGGAGGTGCGCGAGAAACGTGAAACTTACAATAATTGTTATCGATCCGCCACCGGTATGGACCGTGCGGTCTGCCACCTTTGATATTGAATAATCCCTCATAACATAAGCTGCCTTTTGTTTCTCGAAAAATTCTGAAATGATAACTGTTTGCGTTTCTGCACGGCTGACGTTCGATCAAAACCCAGATAGCGTCTCCCCTTCTCCCCTCCCCCCTCACCCGCACACCCTCGAATGCCTAATCCGAGGACACCGAATCCAATAATAATATTAGAGAGAGAGTATTCGCGAGGTATTCCGTGTGGAAGCAGTGTGGTTGTGGGTGTAGCGCGAGGATCTTGCCATGATATATTTATGGGTGGCAAATGTTCTATCAAGCCGTCATAGCTCAGTTGGGAGAGCGACAGACTGAAGCTTATGTAATCACGATTACGTAATCAACCTTCTGCAGGTCACCCGTTCGATCCGGGTTGACGGCAATTGTTTTTGCTTTTCAAAAAGCTTTCTGGGGCAGAATTGAAGGGCAGGTGAAGAAATCCGGACAAGATTCCCTTTTACCAGCTGTTTCCATTGCAAAACAGGTCAAAACTGTCTTTTGATTTTGACAAAGTCATCGGAATCGATTCTATAAATGGTTCTTGAGCTTTGCTGTCTGGGTTCTTGAGGTGAATGCCATTGTTCGGGCCTGGGGGGCGTTGTCTGGTCGCTCTGGCGTGCCGATGTCGCATTCGCTGCCCCCCAGGCCCGAACAATGGCATTCACCTCAAGAACCCAGACAGCAAAGCTCAAGAACCATTTATAGAATCGATTCCGATGACTTTGTCAAAATCAAAAGACAGTTTTGACCTGTTTTGCAATGGAAACAGCTGGTAAAAGGGAATCTTGTCCGGATTTCTTCACCTGCCCTTCAATTCTGCCCCAGAAAGCTTTTTGAAAAGCAAAAACAATTGCCGTCAACCCGGATCGAACGGGTGACCTGCAGAAGGTTGATTATGTAATCGTGATTACATAAGCTTCAGTCTGTCGCTCTCCCAACTGAGCTATGACGGCTTGATAGGCAGGCCAGAGGTAGCAGACAACCCCGTAAACCTTTGCAACTAGTATCCTAATGCTACAATTTGTATGCAATATACTCTGTCAAGGTTCAGCATGGCACATGCTGCATGTATTCTAGGCCGTTTGCATCTCATTTGCCCTCATCGGCGGCACGGCGAAAGACACCGTACCGTGAGAATACCGTGACAGGACGCGCGTCGCGATCGAGCTCAGAGTCCAAATCGTAATCCCAACCGCATTCCACCCGCGAACTTTCTTTTACGATGGCCTCCAAAAAGGATGAAGCAGCCAAGATGCAAGTCGACGAGTCGGCCAAAGCTTCTACTACGACACCAGCACCCGCACCGAAACCCGCACCGACTCCAGCAGAGGAGGTGCGGGCGAACTTGCAGCTCATCGAGCGCGCCGTTTCGACGTTGGAACCGCGATACACGGCGAGGGTGTTGAGGAGCCTTACTACCTTGAGAAAAAAGCTGGATGCAAAGGCGTTGGCGGAGGTTGTTGGTGGTTTGAAAGGTACGCGGGTGATTCTTGAATGGCTCTTTCGAGGGAGTACGGGGCTAACTCGAGCGTAATCAGACGGCCCCGTGAAACAAGGCTTGCTGCTTTATCTCCCAGAAGCACCTTCATCTCCCGCCGCCTCGATGGAAGTCGATTCTGGTGCTGGAGCGGCGACGACCGCCAAGGCTGCCCCCGCGCTGACCGAACCTTGTCCTGAAGTCGACGTCTACCTCCGCTTGCTGGTCATCCTTCGCCTTTTAGACGCGGGATCCGTGGATAAAGCGAAACAGCTCGCGCACGAGACCGTGGACAAGATTCAGCAGCTGAACCGGCGGTCGTTGGACGCCATCGCCGCCAAGGTTTATTTCTATCTTGGACGTCTGTACGAGCTGCAAGGCGAGATTGCAGAGCTGAGGCCGTAAGTACCAAGTAATCGTTTGTCGCGTTTGAGCTGAAGTGACGCGCGTTTTTAGACTGTTCCTTGCTGCTCAGCGGACAGCGTCTCTCCGCCACGACGATGAACTCCAGGTACGGCCTAAATGCCGTTATTCTCTGGAGAGGGCTAACCTATATTGCGCGCTTTAGGCAACTCTCATCAACCTCTTACTCCGAAACTACCTCCACTATAACCTCTACCAGCAAGCAGACAAGCTCGTCTCCAAGACCAAGTTCCCCGACAGCGCCGGCAACCCACAACTCTCTCGATACTTGTACTACCTCGGTCGCATTCGAGCTGTTCAGCTAAACTACACGGAGGCGCACACGCATCTCCAACAAGCCATTCGACGGGCTCCAAACGCGACGGTGGCCCCCGGTTTCTATCAGACGGTGCACAAGCTCTTCTTGATCGTCGAACTCCTCATGGGTGATATTCCAGAACGCGGACTGTTCCGGCATCCGGTGCTGAAGGGTGCTTTGGGACCGTATCTCCAGATCGTACAAGGTTCGCCCTCCCCCTTGCGATTCACCCGCAACGCGGACCGCTGATCTCGCCCCCGTCTTTAGCTGTCCGTACTGGTGACCTAGCTCAGTTCCAATCTAGTCTACAGACGCATGCGCCGCTGTTTACCCAAGACGGAACTTACACCCTCATCCTCCGCCTTCGCCACAACGTGATCAAGACCGGTGTCCGCGCCCTCTCGATAGCCTATTCAAGGATATCGCTCCGAGACATTTGCCTCAAATTGCATTTAGATTCCGAGGAGGACGCGGAGTACATCGTGGGCAAAGCTGTTCGAGACGGCGTCATCGACGCCCGGGTGGATCACGCAAAGGGCTGGATGGAAAGCTGGAGGCGAGGCGAGGGTGGGCGTGGTGACGTGTACGAGACCGGAGAACCGAGAGAGTCTTTCCAGAAACGAATTGGGTTCTGTTTGGACCTTCACAATGAGAGCGTTAAGGTGCGTTGCCGAAGTTTGCTCCGTAGGTGGGGGAAGGCCACCACGCCTGACTGATTTGCGTTTGTCTCTAGGCAATGCGATACCCGCTCAACACCCACCGCAAAGACCTGGCGACGGCTGCAGAAGCCAGGGAGCGAGAGAAGGAGTTGGCGAAGGAAATCGAGTCGGGCGAACACGACGATGACGACGTCGAGCCTGACTTCTGAGCTTTTGCGTGAAAAATGGACGTTGATTTGTTGATCTTGTTGCACCTTTTCATATCCGATGCCCGCGATGTTGTCAGACGGGATTTCCGGTCGTCAGCTGAAAGGTGTGGCTTTTGGTTGTTTACGAGTGCAAAAAGGCCGTGGAACACGCGGTGTCACGGCTTCTTCGAGGCTTCCTGTCAACTTGCGACCCTTTCGAGATCTTCTTTCACTCCACTTGACCGTCCCTCTCACCGCCGCCGATGCTTTCGAGCTGTGCTTTATCTGAGAGTTCCTGAGACCATCGGGCGTGGTCTGCATGACCGAGGAACCTAATTCGAGGCTTCATATGGGCTCAAACGGTAAACCTAACAAACCAATATACGGCAGCTTGTATCTCATTGAAACCGATATCACCTTCAGAATTCAGCCAAGCAAACAAAAGGCCCACAGCTGCTCGAAACCCCTTCTCTGCGGAACAAGTACAAGGTGCCAGCTCTCATCCTAGGAAGCAGTTGAATCGGAACGTCATTGGTACCAACGCGCAGCCGCCTTCCTGAAAGAAAGTATAGATCCCTCTCGAAGATTTGGTCCCATCCGCCGCGTCTTTGCTCATGGCTTCGAGAGGGGGCTAGTCATTGGGGCCCCATCACCATGCTCCGATACACTGTCCTGTACCGAGGACGGGGTTCTGGTTCCTAGAAAGAGACTCCTTTCGGTCCTTCCAGACTCATCTATCTCGATCGAGTGTTGCCTTGGATCTCTGAAAGAAGCACCCCCTCCTTTGGAAATATTTTCGGAGCGCGCTGATGCCGTGAAACCCTAGCCACGCGGAACAAGGTACCAGGAAACAGGCTACTCAGGAGCTTTAGGAGGGCTGTGTTAATTACGAACTGGAATTGGTTCTGTGGGGGCGAACGCCAAAGACTTCTTAGTTCGCTCAACGGACCGAGGCCGCAAATGCATCTGAGCTCGGGATCATGAGCCAAATTTGGAAGCTCATCATCACGTTATTGCTGGCGATATGATAGATTCAGATCCAGCTTCAGGTTTGCTTCTTGTTGGCACCCCAACGTCGGTGCCGATGGCAAAGCGGCTCAGCATTTTCCGTCGCGCCGTACGGGTTTTACATTGACCGAGTCCGAAACTTGCCTTTTGGATCTCTGGAGTGTATGGAACTTCATAAAACGATCATTACTAGGACTTGGAACTTTTCGCTACTTCTCCTTCAGACGTACGTTGATCGAAACTCCGTATTCCATTCCCCAGTCGAACCACCCATCCATATCGTCTTATTTTCGAAATGATAGTTATGAATCGCACCACTTCCAACCCAAGACCTACTATACAACCCACTCCCTCGTCGATGCACTTATCTTCGCCCGCTCGATTGAAACGCCCTCCTCAAACTCATTCCCCTATCCGCCCATCTGCAGCACCTTACTCATCTGCGAGCTTCATCGAGTTCAAAGCACCCCAGGAGCTTAACTCGAGATCAGCCAACGGCATCGTAAGTGTGGCTTGTTCTCCATTTCAAGCCAGCCACCGAGATTCGCGTTTATGGAGTCTCGAGCTGCCGAATCCGATCGCCGCAGGATCTCTAAATCACAACTCTCTCGTTCTTTTTGCAGATTGCTGGTGGTCGCTTCAGCGAGTTCAAAGCCCCCGACTCGCGCAAACCATTGTGCACTTCTCCTGGTGTCATGCATCCGAACCTCTATCGCCCTCTAGTTCAGTCTCCAATGGGAACCGGACAGCCATCATTCGAACGCTTCGATCATGGAATGGTACCCCAGTCTATGCAACAGAACGATCCTGATGCTCAACGACAGCAGCAGCTTTTCGAGTACCAGCCGGCGTTGGTCTTCACGGGTGTTCCTCGATTGCCACCACCATCGTATCCTATGCCTCGCTCTCACCCATCTCTCGCAATCTATTCAGCGGAGTCTCAGTTCCCTATCCATAGCCGGGACGTTCGTGGAGTAGCCAACGGATGTGTGCCGTGCCAGACGCCTGGTGGCATGCCACTTCGCATCTCGGACGCAATAAATCGCCCTCCGCCATCTTCTCTTGGCAACGAAAGTCTAGGTCCAAACTTTACGATCAATCCTGCGGTCCCAGTCGTTGCCGACGCATGGCCTGGTCCCACTGGCTACCCGACCAGACGACCGGATCCAGTCCAGCACTCCGGTCAGCACCCATCTCCGATTCCACCCCCCGTTCAGAATGAAACTGGTCTTCACTTACCTCCCCTTCGACATGAAGCCTCTCAAATTCCTACCTTCTTTCCCCCCGAGTTCGCCCAACCACCCGTCTCACAACCCCAACGTCTCGACTGGCCCGAACCCCCTCTACCTTCGCCTTGCCCCCCGCCGTACCCAAATTTTTCGGTAGTGACGCCTAAAGGTCCTCGTCGTCCTAGGCGGGAGATCTTAGCAGGGATCAAACACATGATCTTCATATGGAGAGCCGACGCTCCGACTTCGAACACGTACCGCCCTCGTCCTCCTCCCAGCTCCATGACTCCTCATGAAGCGTCCCAGATCCCTACTTCCAAAACGCCTACATACATTTCTCCCGCCATGGACCCGCCTCTGCTTTGCACTTTCCGCCTGGCCGGAACGTACCCGACGATCGACAGCCAACTCGAGCAGGTTCGAGAGAAGGAGGAAGGCCATGAGCACGAGTTCCCCTCCCAGACCCTCAAGCATACCAGCCCTGATCCTCGACTTGTCGGTCCGGACGGAATTCAGTGGCTTGTCGAGCCTTCGCCCAAGTTCCCTACGCTTCGGAGCGTCTTGCTGACAGCGGTGGCGGAAGGACGAGCTCGAGGTTCCATCAAGGTAGAGGAAGATGATATAGAGGTGTTCGCTCAGCAGGAAGTCGCTGCACAAGAGTTCCCTACTCT